CAGTTACTGTTCAATAGGGTGGATTCAATAGTGGATTGCCAGGGGAGGGCTCCATGGGTGGAGTTGCTTTAAAGAGTTCCTTACACGAATGTATGACACGTGTTTTCATCGTGTGGCTATGTGTATATGTCCGAGAGGGTTGTTTTGAAATGGGGAAATACAGAGCCGTTTGGCTCTCGATTTGGTAAAAAGAAAAGAGCCGTTTAGGCTCATTTACTGACAATGACTGTGAGGACTGCTCGTGACTTTTCTTCTTCAGACATGGGAACTAGCATAATCCCACTTTTCCAATGCACATGCCAACTGCATGCCATTCCAATTTCAAATAGGCATCCAATGTTCTTTTCGGCTTTTTGGTTTGTGGGCTGGGTTATAATCCAAAGGGTCATCAAGAGGCTATGTGCATCATTTTGTCACGGCCCAATGTTTCTTATGTCAGGTGATTTTTTTTCCTTTGTTTTTTTTGTTCTATTATGTATTTCATTTTTTTTAATTTCTTTGTTTCATTTATATTTCCCTTTTTCTTTTAGTTCTTTGGTCTAGACATTTGTCTTCTCTTTTCTAGTTTTGCTTTTCGTTTTTTTTAGTTTATATTTATTTTCCACACCTGGAGGACAATTGTGAAATAAGTTTGGAGGTGGGAAAGTAGTAAAAATTTAGGATTTTTGTTTTTGTGTCAGTTAAAATTTTTCGTTTTTAAGCTAATATCCATAGATTATTTTAAACGTTGGAACAAATGGACATGGTAAAGATTAATCCCACAGTAGAGTTTTTTCTATTTATCGTTACTTAGACACTAATTCACGAATTATACTTTGACAATTGCACATTCACACCAACGTGGTTTGTGGGGAGTGAGATTGAAACACTTGCTTTTTATCTAAGTGTATTTTTATTTTTGTTCTAAATAAAGTAAAGTTAGCATGTGTTATAAAGTAATAATTGTCTCACCCGAGGTTTTGCCTAGTAACCGGGCCAGTCCTACCTAATCAGCAGTGATTCTCGCGTCAAACGGTAGAGTTTTGGCATGAGGCAGGGTGGTTAGTTGGTTTCGTAGCATTTTCAGCTCGGGTTAATAAGTCCTTAGGGGTGTTCTACACCTAGTGCCCTAAAGCCCTAGTGGTTTGGGAGTCATTGACCTAAAACTCGCTACATGGGTTGGATAGAAAGCTTAAGGGAACCGACATTGCACGACCACTACTGTTACTCCTAAAAAAAAAAAAAACAGAAAAGAAAAGAAGAGAAAGAAAAAAATATATGTGAAGTTAGTGTGTGAAGTATGAATAAAGGGACGAGAGGTAAGAGTTTTGGTCGAGTCTCTTTAACTATGTTGGTTCACTTTACACCAAAGGAAGTTTGTGAATTCTTTTCTAATTGATTCTAAATGGTTTAGACTCTGTGGTGGGATTGGTTGGAACTTTTGAAAAAATGTTCTGATTTTTAACAGTTTCTATGGATTGCAACTTGAAAGTGAGAATTTTTTTTAGCTGAGTTTTAGTTAAGTGTCTAGTTGTTAGTTTTTATTTTTTGTTTTCTAGTTTTATTTTGCTTGAGGACAAGCAAAAAGCTAAGTTTGGGGGTATTTTGATAAGTGAATTTTATATTATATATTTAACCCTATTCTTGGTATATTTTGGTTAATATTTTAGAAGAATTTTGATACTTTGAATTGTATTTTCAATATAGGACTTTCAACTTCCTCTAGAGAAAAACGTGGTCAAATGGATGAATATTGGAGTAATTCCAGTTGGAAGACGTTCGTGAGTCACTTAGCTTGATCGTATCAAAAATTGGGATTTTTCCATCAAGCGGTTATTTTCTGGCGATAAAATAAAGGAGCAATGCACAGTGTTGAAAAATGACGTTTCTGGGTTTAAATTGCGTTTTTGGAGCCCAAGATGACCTCAGATGGTTTCATGGCCTTCTGGAGATATGTTCGGAACATCCTTATCTTTAAAACAAGCTATCTTGGCCCGGATTTGGAGGAGATCTAAGGCTAAAACGTGGCTGGACAAGTACTTGGCAGATTCTCCTAGTTTAATTAGGGTTTTATTTTTTTAAGAGATTTTATTATTTTTCTTAGTTTCCTAGTTGGATTAAGAAACCTATGTCTTAGGGTTTGTAAGGGCTGAGCAAATATATGGCTTTGGCCGTCTACAGTTTTTGGGGACGCTTATTATTATTCAACTTCAGAGACAAAGAACTTGGCTAGGGTTCTTGGAGATTTTCTACTTTAAGGTGTTTTCATTCCTTTTATTTTTAATAATATTTTCTATGATTTCAATTATGAATATGCATAACTAATTCCTTTTGCTAGGGCGAAGCCTTGGGCCTTAGCATGAATATGTAATTTTTATTTAATTGCTTATGATTGATTGCATACACACTTTGAAGTATTAATCACTGTTTTAAACTATCTAATTATCTTGATGACTGGCCACCATTAGGATGTTTAGACAAGTAATTGGATGCAATTCGGTCGGAATATCACCGGATGATTGAGTATTGCTTCTTGTGATTGATAATTGTAATTTCATCTAAGGCGAATATCACGTTCTTAGGGGTTGCATGGTTCTTCAAAGGTTTTCATGAAACTTAATGAGTCTTGCATGTTCATATTTGATCTGAATATCACAGACGAATTGCATGTTAGATATACGTTCTTGCTTGAATATCACGAGGAGAATATATATTAGGAAAACCTAACCTTCGAAGTGGCATGTGTAAATCATAGGTAATTGGTAAAATACATAGAATTGCTAGGTGATGGTGGAACCCTAGTGTCTTTATAAATTGGTATTTAAAACTCTTTTCTTCGATTATATTAGTTTTTGTTTAAAATTCGTTTTTAATATTACCTACTCTCAAACTCTCTTTTCTCAAGTTTTAATTCTAAGTATTTAATTAGGAATTGTTTCTACATAAATTATCCAAATAGTCCTTGAGGAAAACGACATTGCATGAGCATCTATACTATAACATCCTTGTATTCTTGCAAGTATTTCATGTGATTTTGACCCTATTTGCATAGACGTTAAAAATCCTATCATCGAACAACATGCGCTCGAGAGTTCCTGTCACACTTGGTGCTAAAAAGTTGCAGAGGGATGACGTTCATTCCATTGGAAGTGAGAAAAAAGACGAATCATACACTTGGTCTGCAGTGAGTAAAGAAGCTGAGGCACTCATGCGGTTGAATGAAAAAACGTCGTGTTCATCGTCAAAATCTAATTATTCGAAAGTGAATAAATCTTCCAAAGGTAAAGGTGATCATTTATATAGTGTACGTTGTCACAACCTGTAGTGTTCTGTTAAACACGAGAATCAATTGTTGTATGACTCAAAAGCAAAGGCAAGCCAAGATTTTCCTTCCGTTTCATGACTCGCAAAGAATAACCCTCTTGCATTAATGTATCTAAGAACGAAAGTGACGTGTCCTTCAAGGTTCAACAAGTGTCTGACATGTTGAACATAATTAAGCCTATAACCGAAAAATATTTGGATTCTGAGTTTATTCACTATATTCAAGGAGAAGAGGAAAATCAGTTGGAGATTGTGCCTATTGAAGTTAATGAACTTGGGCATGGATCTATTGAGCAGTCAATGGCAGAGCTTTTATATGGCCTTCAGGATAAGACAACGATGCTGAGAGCAATTTCTAAAATGGTTCTCTCTTCGAACATGTTTTTCCCTTCCTTATCTCATTTACATCTTTCTGTTCTCTGTTTAATCTAGTTTGTGTTTCAGTATCGTAGAAAAAGATGTAAAAGGGTACAACCTGCTATGAAAATAGTATCTTCACTCGGAGATAGAGCCATTGACAGTGAAAGCTCCCCTGAGCACTTAGGCCCTAGATCACCAAGTGATAGCGAGGTATCTCCCTGTTCTCATTTCCTTATAGGCTTATTCCAGTTCCAATCAGTACCGTATTTAACATATATTCTTTAGCAGGCAGAAGATCAAATTCCAAAGCTTGATAAAGCGGAGGTAAAGAGGCAAACATTAAGAGTTCTACCATGGTCTTAATATTGAAATAATGTCTCATTGGCAACTAACACAAGCATACCCTTCGATCTTTGGTTGCCAAAAGGATCAATGCCAATTTCTGAAGCATCCTTCAAATAAGGATTATTCAAGCACGGAGGAGGCATGACACGACAGCGTAAAGCCACTGCAGATTGAGATACATAATTTTGCTTCTTCCGTAGTTCTGTTGCTCAATTTTACACAAATAGTAAAATCCAATCCATCCATTGTACCTTGCTGCAATCCCAGCCGTTCACCATATGCTGATTATCCAGTGTGAAATAATCAGGAGTGCTACATCAATCAAAACCCAGAACAAAAATCCAAATTTTCATCCATGTTCGAATTCGAATCCCGAAAAGCTTGAAAATTTACAAAATTGATGACGCGTAGGATTTTACCAGAAGAAGTCTTGGCTGAGTATGAACTCCCGGTCGTCGAAACTGGGGTCAACGTCGGTGCCGAGAGAAGCGGATGAGGGAAGGCTACAAAATGATTGAGTCAAACAGAGTCTACCGTGCGCACTCATCTGATATTTAATCTGGACCGTGGGATTGGGAGACTACCTAGATAATGTTTTGATGATTTGGGTTTCATTGGTTATGTGTCCTGGGTGGCGCGACAGCGAAGTGGTCTTGGTTTAGAGGGGATCCTCTCTGGATCTCTTCCACCAAAGTCCACGGATAAAGTGATCTGAGCCCCTGAAATTTGATCAAACCGCTAAAAACAAAGACTTCTTTTAAAAGTTATAATAATTTTAACCGTTGGATCAAATTGCAAAAACTCAAATCACTTGATCCGTGTGATTTGGTGGAAGAGATCCGAAAATGATCTATTTCCGGCTTGTTTCAAAATTAGTGTGTGCTCCACGAGGACGATGGTAGTGGGCCGAGACAAAAAAAATAAATAGGACACGTGTCACTTACACACGCATCGAGGACCAAATTTGGCGTCAAAACCCACTGCCGGCGAACCTCTTCCTTTGAACCCACAATTTCCTCTGTTTCTAAAGATTTATAAGCTCCACCACCGTGCTATGCGTTGTTTTCAGACAATTCCAGAGTTTGATCAGAGCATTTCTGGTAAACTCTCTCGATTCGATTCTTGCATTTTATCTGTGTTTTTCTGAATTGGGATTATTAGATTGAAGTGTTCTTTGGTTTTTCATCTGGGCAGATGAGGAAGAATCGGAAAAAAAGAGATTTTCCCAATTGCGCTGCGATTGGCGGTTCCACCAAGAAAAAGGTTTTTATTTATTTTTTAATGTTTTTATTTATTTTGCTTTAAACTTCAATGTTCTTGATTTAATTTGTATGTATGTGCATTGTTTATGTAGTCGTAATTGGCGAAAGATCGGTACAATGTGTTTGGATACTAGGAAAATATGAGATAGTACAGAGAAAATTATGTGAAATGTTTTTCTAGTTTCTTACCTCATCCGCATAATTTTCCCCACTTCGAACATTACTACTAGCTTGTGGCAAAGCATCTCTCCACGTACTAAAGGAATGGCTAAGTATTTTCCAACGACTGGACATCGATTCTTTGGTTCTTTTCCCACTCATTTGCTCAAGAAATTTGGTATGAATTAAACTCCACATTTCTCGCAATTGCATCTCATTACCCGTAAATGAATTATGAGTAACTTCAACCCAGCTAGTGCACAACGCAACATCTTCAAGAAGCGACCAATTCGTACCTGCATCAGTAGTCATTTTGTGGAAAAAAAATTGGATTGAAACTTTGGGAGAAAGATAAGAATTTCATTGGAAGTAGTTGAGAAAATATGAAATTGTGGTGTAAAGTAGATGGAGAAGAAGTGGTATTTATAGAAAAGTACAAACAATTTTTTACAAATGTTTTTCATATTTTTTTACAATTTTTTCGGATTTTTTACAATTTTTTTTAAAAATTTTATTCAAATAATTAATCTCTGCCGTTGGATTTTAAAAAATTTGAATTCCAACACTCCAGATTGTACCACGTGTCACAACGGTAACTTTTCTTAATTTTAAAACTATTTTTTCTTTTTTTTTAATTTATAAAGAAGATTAATATCAACCGTTGATCTCAGATCGAACGGTTGATATAAAATCAGCTTTTTTTTTATTACTGTTGCAAATCGGACGGCTCGTATTAAATAGTCGTTGGGATCAAATGGATCGTGGGAAGCCACGTGGCTTCCCAACGGTAACTGGGTTGCTGGGCCCGTGCCCTGATTTCCTGTCGGGCGACGCGCCCCCACTTGTGAGTGAGGGGCACGCGCCTGACACAAAAAAATTAAAAAAAAAAAGCCCGGACCCAGGCTTGACGTCACGGGCCTCGGGCCACAGGCCTGTCAATTGCCCACCCCCCGGCCCTTGGGCTCCCACCCTCACTCGGGCTCTCCATGGCTGGAGAAGAACCCACCGGCTCTCGGGCCTTTTCCTGCTGCTTGTCCCCCGAGCAAAAAGCAAGGGTGGATTTGCTCTTAAGATTTCAATAGAGACGCTGAAATGTGTTATAGTCACTCATTGTCATGTCAGATGGCTTTTAGAACCCCTAGGCCTTCTCATTTCTCATAATGCGCTCAACACTCTCTGATCTCTCAAAACCCATTTCTCTCCAAAATGAAAAGAGGTTTCCGTCTCACTCTCTCTAGAAAATCCAAAGAGACTCTCAGTATGCTCAACACTTGTAGCCCTCTCATTTCTATGTATCCCCATAAATGGGAGTCATCATCTGCACTGGAGCTCGGTCGGGAATCCTGAAATGCTAAAGGTAAAAAAAAATCGTTCCATGCTGTCATTTAGTTCCAGTGAGCTTCTTTTCATGGAAAAAAAAAAACTAATGCATGCATGCCTTTGTTTCTGCGAGAGTACGTGGATCCACAACAAAAGAGAGAGGCAACAAGACACCAAATTTTTGTGAGTTAAAATGTGTGTAGACGGCTCACGGATCTGATGTCTGCAAAGTAGAAACAGAAGCAAAGCGTGTCAGACCCACAGATCCGAGCATAAGAAAGGTACAACTCCTGTCGTGAAATGTTGAGCACTGTATGGCTAAGGATAATTCAAAGTCATTGCATAACCCAAATCTCTGTCTCTCTGTGCCTGTAGGTGACTCGGATCGAGTGGAAATCTGAGAAAAAGAGTGCGCAAGCTGTAAATGTAGTCGACAAAATGGCAAAACAAATTTCTAAGTCAACGCGACCGTGGATCGGAAAGGTATAAACACCCATCTCTGAGTAAAGCAGCATGCATGTATTATCTTCTCCCCATGAGATGAAACCTGATCACCCCAAAACATATCTATGCCCATGTGGACTCGAAACGTGTTGAAGACAAAGAATCAATCAACCCCCAAACTGATACACCTGGTTCCACTGGAACTCATACACATGATTGTTCTGTTGCAGGGAAAATACCCTAGAGCGGCAAAGGCAACGTCATGACAAAACTATTTGTTCAGGAAACTTGTATGCAATTGTTGCCAAGTAGTAATGCTATTAGCCGGTAGAGTGAATAACCAAGTTTCAGCCTTATCCTTCAAAGTAAAAGGAAAAAGACGTAACTTAATAGCCTCGGTAGAAAAACCCCTGATCAAGATATTTTTGCAACCCACGATGAATTTTGCAACATGTAAATTAGCATCCTCGTTAGGCAGCCCACGAAAAGTAGGTAAAATTTCAAGCATATGGTGCTTGATCTCAAATGAATCGCCATCTTCCTGGGAAGGATACACAATACAATTAGGAACATCATTGGCTTGGGCAACCAATGACTCTCTGAGTGGCCTGCCTGCTGCAGGCAATTGCAACGCCATTGTGATTTGACTGTCTACAAAACCAGCAAATAATTCCTGCAGGAATGTGCCTTGCAGTACATAATCTGAAAGCAAATTATTTTCTCTCCTCTGTCTATGTAGTGTGCGTTCGGGTTCTGGATCAAACTGTGCAATCTGGGCAGTTCCTAATCTAATCTGGACCATGCAGTTTACAGAATCTGCAATAACACAAAAGCGTTAAAATAAATTGATTTTTTTGTGGACGAAAAATAATAAAAAATAATCAGAAAAAGTTTAAACAAAAATTATCTAACATAGTCCCCGGCAACGCCGCCAATTTCTTGATAGGATTTTTAACGTCTATGCAAATAGGGTCAAAATCACATGAAATACTTGCAAGAATACAAGGATGTTATAGTATAGATGCTCATGCAAGGTCGTTTTCCTCAAGGACTATTTGGATAATTTATGTAGAAACAATTCCTAATTAAATACTTAGAATTAAAACTTGAGAAAAGAGAGTTTGAGAGTAGGTAATATTAAAAACGAATTTTAAATAAAAACTAATATAATAGAAGAAAAGAGTTTTAAATACCAATTTATAAAGACACTAGGGTTCCACCATCACATAGCAATTTTATGTATTTTTACCAATTATTTATGATTTACACATGCCACTTCGAAGGTTAGGTTTTCCTAATATATATTATCCTCGTGATATTCAAGCAAGAACGTATATCTAACATGCAATTCGTCTGTGATATTCAGATCAAATATGAACATGCAAGACTCATTAAGTTTCATGAAAACCTTTGAAGAACCATGCAACCCCTAAAAACGTGATATTCGCCTTAGATGAAATTACATCTATCAATCACAAGAAGCAATACTCAATCATCCGGTGATATTCGACCAAATTGCATCTAATTACTTGTGTAAACATCCTAATGGTGGTCAGTCATCAAGATAATTAGATAGTTTAAAACAGTGATCAATAATTCAAAGTGTGTATGCAATCAATCATAAGCAATTAAATAAAAATTACATATTCATGCTAAGGCTCAAGGCTTCGCCCTAGCAAAATGAATTAGTTATGCATATTCATAATTGAAATCATAGAAAATATTATTAAAAATAAAAGGAATGAAAACACCTTAAAGTAGAAAATCTCCAAGAACCCTAGCCAAGTTCTTTGTCTCTGAAGTTGAATAATAATAAGCGTCCCCAAAAACTATAGACGGCCAAAGCCATATATTTGCTCAGCCCTTACAAACCCTAAGACATAGGTTTCTTAATCCAACTAGGAAACTAAGAAAAATAATAAAATCTCTTAAAAAAATAAAACCCTAATTAAACTAGGAGAATCTGCCAAGTACTTGTCCAGCCACGTTTTAGCCTCAGATCTCCTCCAAATCCGGGCCAGGATAGCTTGTTTTAAAGATAAGGACGTTCCGAACACATCTCCAGAAGGCCACGAAACCATCTGAGGTCATCTTGGGCTCCAAAAATGCAAATTAAACCCAGAAACGTCATTTTTCAACACCACGCATTGCTCCTTTATTTTATCGCCAGAAAATAACCACATGATGGAAAAATCCCAATTTTTGATACGATCAAGCTGAGTGGCTCACGAACGTCTTCCAACTGGAATTACTCCAAAATTCGTCCATTTGACCACGTTTTGCACCAGAGGAAGTTGAAAGTCCTATATTGAAAATACAATTCAAAGTATCAAAATTCTTCCAAAATATTAACCAAAATATACCAAGAATAGGGTTAAATATATAATATAAAATTCTATGAAGGATGTTTTAGAGAGAAAAAGCCTATGAATTTGTGAACAGGCAAGTTTCACACTTTGGAGTCTAAGGTTTCGTTCGGAAAGTAATTCTGAGAGGGCTTTAATCACTTCTGGGAGAAGGAGATGTGCTTCTCTATAAATCACTTTTGGTGATTTTGCTTGAAATCACGATGGCTAGTGATTTTAAGGAAAAGCAACTCTCATGAGCTGCTTCTTAGAGTCACTTTCGAATGACCCCAATCGCCCATTGTAGCTAAATCATAAGGGGTATAACTGATAGCTACAACTTACACATACATATAAAAGATAGCACTAAATTAGGAGAAAAACTTCAATACAGGTATTTGGACCATATGATGCTTCCGATTGCACATAAAAACACCTCTTCCTTAGGCAGGTTTACCTACATTGGCATTTATGCATGCAATCTAATATCTTAGTAGATAGGGTGTTGAGTTTCCCCTCAAATATCCTGAGTTTGAAACTCTATCATTTCTTAAATTATTTTAATAGTTTCGAAACCTCCACTTCGTCTTAATAATAATAAATTTAATATATATAAACCTATATTGGCATTCTAGACTAATAACACAACACCATTTGTTTTCAATTTCTCATGTGGCGTTATTTAATTGGTTTATGATACAGTCGCCTTAGTGTTCTTGTTTCATGTAAGTCCTATATTTTGTTCCATGATCCCATCTACTTGCTCGTTGGTCCCTACACTTTGTATGTGTTGCCATAGTACAGTGGCCCAACCGAATACCCCCTCCTAAAACATGATCTAAATTTGGAAGTTGGCATAAAAGCCATAGGGGGTTGTTAGCAGTAGCAATTGCTACACAACATA